CTCTACAAAGAGATACCAATTTTTGGTTAAATGCCTTGATGCGCCGTTATAAATAAACCACCCCTCTAATATTTTTTTAATTTTTAATTTTAAGTCTTCATCTGTATTATCACTTTTTATGAAACTTATTTCGGTCCTATAATACTACATATTATTATATTGAAAATGTTGAATTATAATATTTTTAATAAGTAGATCACGGCTTTATGTGTGATAAATCTATATATTTAACATCTTAATAAACAGAATATTTGAATAAAATTCAACCCAGAAAGGACCCCTATGATCTTAAACGCTATTTCGATATAGTTGCAAATTCCTTATTCAAATCCTCATATCATTTACAGAAATAATGCATAAAAAGCTAAATTTAATATACAATACTTTGGGTTTAAAATTCATCCTGTTAAAATTTGGAAATAATATTCAATTAGATTAAAATTGTGACCCAGACCACACTTCTTAAAAGCTTCACCCAACCCGCCTTCCAGCGTGACAGACAACCTCAATTCAATCTTTCCCCGACATAATTATCACGTTTTAAGGAACTTATTTCGGTCCCCTTAATACTGTATATTATTACATAGAAAATGTTTAATTACAACATATTCCATAAATAGAGCAGGAATTTATGAGTGATAAATACACACAATTTCAGAACTCATAAATCAGAATAATTTAATAAAAAGACGCGAATCAGGCCACAATTCTGAAGAATCCATCCTCGTCGCCTCACATCTTATTTTTGAAACAACTGATTGGATTGCAAAAAATAATTAAATTAAATACCTAAACACTAATATAAAACAATTTTTCCATAGCACACACTTTTACCCTATGGTTTATGTGTTACTTATCTATTGCTATTCAATGGCGTTTCTACTATTTATTATTAATGTACTTTCAGTATGAAGGAAATTGCACTCAGTGGAATACTCGGGTAAAGCCGGGTCATTCTTTTAGTAAAAATTTATATTGTTTATTCCTGAAAATTGAATGACTAATAGTGTATGGGATTCAGCTAAAATCATAACAAGTTTGATTAATTAAAAGCTCTAAGTCCAACGCAAAATGGATTAAACAACAATGTCTAATAGAGAAAATTATACCCTGGCAATATGTAAGATTTCAACAAAATTGCAATATTAATAAGCCATTCTTAAAATTTGGTGAATTTTAAATAAAGTATAAAAAAGTATGTTGTGCAACAAATAGAACAACTAGAATTCCATTAGTGTTAGGCATTAGACGCTTTAGGAAGTAAAGTTCACTTAATATTATCGCTCTGTTTTCTAAGATTTATCTTCCTGATCCTCTATTAAATCTTTTAAAATTCATTATGATTAGACGAATAAATATATACATAAATAAACATAAATAATATAAAATTTGATATTGTATTCAAAGAAAAGGTAAGATATTGTTTGTAAATAAGTTGAATCATAAATAAACTAACATTTATATTTTGATTTATTAACAGATTACTATTCGAGATTCTTATAGTAGTTTTCAGCTTCTTATAAATTCTTGTCTCACTTCATATTTATTTAGTATGCGAAGTTTAACTTCTCCCTCTGGATAGCACAGTAACTTGTTAAAATCCTTCTGATAGACCAAGTAAATATACTTTTTTATGTTTAAATAGGGATTTATACTCTAGAAATGGGTTAGAAATACAAATGTATATATAGGATTATAGCAGTAAACTTACCTTTTTTTTTTTCATCGACGTGTACTGAGGTAATTTTTTTGCTATGATTCACCGGGATTAAGAGCTCCAAGAACCCAGGTTTTTTCTTTATTTCTGTTTGTTCGATCATGTTTTGTCATTCTGGACACCACATTATTCATTTTGTCAAAAGTAGTATATATCATTACATAAAAAATGTTGAATTACAAATTTTCTATGAACAGTAAACACATTTTATGAGTGATTTACAAAAAAAAAAAAAAAAAAACTCTGAATTTATTGAACAGAATAATTCATAAGAATAAAATTCGACCCAGAAAAGACCATTAAGGTCTTAAATTTTATTCTGATTCAATCATTACAATTATTCCTTTTAAATATCTCTATTTAATTTTAATAAATAGTGCTAAAAAGTTTAATTTAATTTACAATATATTGATTAGAAAATAAGGTAATAACACCAAACCAAATAAATAAATAGTATGTGACGTTTTGGTAAAAGCGTTGTTACCCTCTTCCGAAAAAAGTACTTATTACCTTGTTTTATAATTCATAATCCATATTGTACTTATCAATATATTGATCATAAAATATTATCAGGTTGTTTTTTGTAAATTATGAGACCACATCTTTAAAGAGGAGCTCACGTCTCCCCTTCATCGTGACAAACAACCATAATTCAACCAGACCCTGCAGTATTATCACTTTCTTGGAAATTTATGTCATCCAAAATACTGCATATCATTACAGAGATAATGTTGATTTACAATATTTTGCAAATTTACAATACTTATATATATATAAGTAGAGAACGCCTTTACGAGTGATAAATAAAACACAATTTTACACCTCATCAAACAGGAAATTTAAATTAAATAAAATCGACCCCAACAAAGACCACTATGGTCTAGAGGGTCATTGCGATATCAGAGTTGCGAATTGCCCCATTCAAATACTTTTTTACACCTGAAAAAAAAAGGAAAAATTAAATAAAATAAAATTCAACCCAGCAAGGAATCCTATTGTCTTAAATCCTCTTTCGATATTATTTCGGTTCTTTAATAATACATATTATTATTTAGAAAATATTGATCTACAATATTTCCATAAAAAGAGCACGCCTTTAAGTGTGATGAATACACATAATTTTGAACCTTGATAACGAGAATGATTAAATCAAAATAAAATTAAACCCAGCAAAGTCCACTATGGTCTTAAAGGCCATCGCAATACCATTGCAAACTCCATATTTGAATACTTTTATCATTTTCAGAAGCGATGCTTGAAAAGCTAAATATTTTATTCAAAACTTTGCGTTTGAATTTCATTCTGTTTATCTTTTAATATAATAATCAATTAGATTAAAATCGCAACCCGAACCACACTTCTGAAGAGCTCCACCCACTTCGTTCTCCAATGTGACAGACAAACTTTTTCAATTTGCCACCGTCTGTATTTTCACTTTCTAGGAAACCTATTTCGGTCCTATAATACTGTATATTATTAAATAGAGAATGTTGAATTACAATATTTTCATAAATAGAGAACGCCTTTATGTGTAATAAATTTAAACCATTTTACACCTGAAAAAAAAAGGAAAAATTAAATAAAATAAAATTCAACCCAGCAAGGAATCCTATTGTCTTAAATCCTCTTTCGATATAATTGCAAACTCCTCATTCAAATCCTTATATCATTTTCAGAAGTGATACTGAAATAGCTCAATTTGAAAACCATACATTGGATTTGAATTTCATCCTGTTCTTTTCGAATATAATATTCAATTAGATTAAAATCGCGACCCAGACCACACCTCTGAAGGGCTCCATCCACTTCGCCCTCCAGCATGACAGACAACCCCATTTCAATCTGCCCCCGTCTGTAATATAACTTTCTAGTAAACTTATTTCGTTCCTATAATACGGCATATTATTACATAGAAAATGTTGAAGTACATTATTTTTCATTTATAGTTCACGCTTTTATGTGTGATAAATACACACAATTTTACCCTGTAATAAACTTAATGAATGGATAAAAGAAAATTTAACCGATAGGAGTCTCCTATGGCCATAAACGCCATTAAGATATAATTGCAAATTCCTTATTAAAATTATAGTATCATTTTTAGAAGCGATGCTTAAAAAGCTCAATATAATATACAATAATTTAAGTTTGAATTTCATCCTGTTCTTTATTAATATAATATTCAATTAGATTAAAATCGCGACCCAGACCACACCTCTGAAGGGCTCCATCCACTTCGCCCTACAGCATGACAGACAACCCCATTTCAATCTGCCCCCGTCTGTAATATAACTTTCTAGTAAACTTATTTCGTTCCTATAATACGGAATATTATTACATAGAAAATGTTGAAGTACATTATTTTTCATTTATAGTTCACGCTTTTATGTGTGATAAATACACACAATTTTACACTATAATGAACAGAATAAATGGATAAAATAAAATTAAACCCATAGGAGTCCCCTATTGTGATAAACGTCATTAGGATATAATTTCAAATTCTCTATTTAAATCCTTATATCATTTTTAGAAGCGATGCTAAAAAGCTCAATATAATACACGATAATTTATGTTTGAAAATCATCCTGTTCATTTTTAATATAATATTCAATGAGATTAAAATTGCGACCAAAACCACACTTCTGAAAGGCTCCACCGACGTCGCCCTCCAGCGTGACAGACAACCCCAATTCAATCTGCCCCCGTCTGTAATATCACTTACTGGTAAACTTATTTCAGTTTTATAATACTGCATATTATTACATAGAAAATGTTGAATAACAATATTTTTCAGGAATAGAGCACGCCTTTATGTGTGATGAATACACACAATTTTACCCCTTAATAAACCCAATAATTATATAAAATGAAATTCAACCCATTGAAGTCCCCTATGTTCTTGAACGCCATTGAGATATGATTGCAAAATTCCGTATTCAAATACTTGTACCTTTTTCAGAAGTTTGCTTAAAAAGCTCAATTTGAAAGACAGAACTAGGGGTTTGAATTTCATCCTGTAAATATTTGAATACTAGCCGAATGACACGGGCAACGCCCGTGTTTTACCCGATTGTAGATGTTACAACGGTGATCCTTAGGTTGCTGGTTCAAATCCGGCTCGAGGGAGCCGGCGAGCACGTGACCTCCCTATGCGCGCGCATCCGTGACAGAGGCGGCCGGCCGATGAGGAAAGACGGTCGTGACTATATATATTAATACATTTTGTGTAGAAATAGGATTAGTTGACTTCATAAAGTAAACTTATTCATACAGTTTGTATCCCTCGATAGCTCAGTTGGCAGAGCGGAGGACTTTAGATGTTACAACGGTGATCCTTAGGTCACTGGTCAAATCCGGCTCGAGGGAATTTTTTTTTAAATTTTTATTGGCTGCCGGCGAGCACGTGACCTCCCTGTGCGCGCGCATCCGTGAAAGAGGCGGCCGGCCGTTGAGGAAAGACGGTCGTGACTATTTATGTTAAAGATATTATTTAATAACGAACCACTTGATGAGAGGAAAGAGTTTCTTTAATATTAAAGAAACTCTTTCCTCATCAAGTGGTTCGTTATTAAAGTTTAGAGAAAGAATTATTGATTCAATATTAATGATATTCAATTAGATTAAAATCGCGACTCAGACCACACCTCTGAAGGGCTCCACCCACGTCGCCCTCCAGCGTGACAGACAACCCCAATTTAATCTGCCCCCGTCTGTATTATCACTTTCTAAGTCATTTATTTCGGTCCTATAATACAGCTTATTATACATAGAAAATATTGAAGCACAATATTTTTCATTTATAGAGCACGCTTTTATGAGTAATAAATACACAAAATTTTACACCGTTTTAAAAAGAATAAATGGATAAAATAAAATTTAACCCATAGAATTCCCCTATGGTCATAAACGCCTTTAAGATATAATTGCAAACTCCTTATTCAAATCCTTATTTCATTTTTAGGAGCGATGCTTAAAAAGCTCAATATAATATACAATGATTTAGGTTTGAATTTTATCCTGTTCTTTTTTAATATTATATTCAATTAGATTAAAATCGCGACCCAGACAACACCTCTGAAGGGCTCCATCCACGTCGCCCTCCAGCGTGACAGACAACCCCAATTCAATCTGCCCCTGTTTGTATTATCACTTTCTAGTAAACTTATTTTGGTCCTATAATACTGCATATTATTACATAGAAAATGTTGAATAACAATATTTTCAGGAAAATAGAGCAAGCCTGTATGTGTGGTGAATACACACCATTTTACCCCTTAATAAACAGAATAATTGAATAAAATAAAATCAACCCATTGAAGTCCTCTATGGTCTTAAACGGCATTGAGATATAATTTCAAACTCCATATTCAAATACTTATACCTTTTACAGGAGTTTGCTTGAAAAGCTCAATTTAAAAGACAATACTAGGGGTTTGAATTCCATCCTGTTAATCTTTGAATATAATATTCAATCAGAAAAAAATCGCGACCCTGACCACGCCTATGAAGGGCTCCACCCACGTCGCCCTCCAGCTTGACAGACAACCCCAATTCAAACTGCCCCCGTCTGTAATATCACTTACTAGTAAAATTATTTGAGTCCTATTTTACTGCATATTATTACATAGAAAATATTGAAGTACAATATGTTTCAATTATAGAGCACGACTTTATGTGTGATAAATACACACAATTTTACACTATAATATTGTTGCATCATGATTAATGCGCGTATTTTTAAAATTATTTATAATATTATTTTTAATATATTTAAAATTTAAATTATACATTTATTTATTTTTATAAAACAGATTATTACTATAAAATATTATGTACTATAAAACATTTGTATTTTGATACACTAAATACCCCACATGCTTTAAACTTTGATGTGATAAATAAAGAGATATTCTAGGTGCTACCTAAATATATGGTTGTCTTATTAATGACTGGTTTAACCTTGCAAGATGGTTGAGACACGTTCTGGAAAGATGCAAGACACGTCTGAGGAGAGACTCAAGATTGAAGAATCTGCCAAACCGCAGCCCAGTGCAACAATTGGTAGAGATGCAAGTGCCGACCCAGTTGTCTTGAACCCCAACATAGACATCCCCAAATATGATGGAACAGAAGACTCTCGCCCATGGATTGAGTCCATTGAAGAAATTGGTTCCTGTACCACTGGGTAGAATATATTATTTCTCGCTATGCAGCCATGAACATGATTGGTAGCGACAAAACCTGGCTGGACCTACACAAGATAAGTTTTACCAGCTGGGAACATTTCAAGAGCCGCCTAATTCAGGATTTTGCCTCAGACACCAACAAAGAAGAAATGAAGATGAGGCTAAACATAATGCAGCAGTGGAATGAACCTGCAATCAGGTTTGCAGAGGATATCCTGGTTCTGTGCAACAAGTTCGACCCCCAAATGGAAGAAGAGAATAAAATAAATTGGGTTATTGGAGGGTTAAAGAAAGAATACTCTTTTGCCCTCTACTTAAACCCTCCTGAGAATACCAACGAACTCCTAAGATTGTGTAAAAAGATGGATTTGTTTGAAAATGATAATCAAGAACGTGTAGAAAAGTCAAAGGCTCTATATAATGGACCACGCTCTCCTCGCTCCCATCATCAAGAGCAATGGAAGAACGCTCCGTCGTTCAGAAGACCAGACCAAAACACCTCCAAGCCCCAGGCCCCCGCTCCGAAGTACTACCAGAACACCCCCAAGTCCCAGGCCCCCGCTCCGAGGTACTACCAGAACAAGCCGCTGCCCCAGGTATCTGCCCCTAGACGATTTTACACTCCCATTCCTGAGCCAAAACCGGTCTACCCAATGAAAACATACAATAAGAGTCCAGATTCAAACAGGAATAGGACAGAAGACGGGAGACCAATATGTTTCAAGTGTAACAAGCCAGGACACGTAGCGCGGTATTGCAGAGTCAAGTTTGTGAGGATCGTAGAAGAGGACTCCTCAGTTTCCCAAGACAAGAGCCAAGAAAATCTTCAAATGGACCAAAGGAAAGATTATACACGGCCTCGCCTCTATGCGGATGTTTGTAATGACACACAAACGAATATTCCTACACGGAATAGATATTCCGTGTTGGAAGATTTAAACTAAGTGTCGCGCCTGATTCCTTCAATCAAAGCAAGTCGACCATAAATGGAATTAGAAAGTTGGACCCTAGGTACAAAATTAATATTAATGTGGACAAGATAGGGTTTTTGCGAAGCTTTGATTGATACAGGCGCCGATCTTTCAGTGGTCGACCTAAGAACAGCACTTTTTGCTGGCCATTAAATAAATAGTCTCACTAAAACGTGTTCAGGACCCGATGGGAAAAAATTAGATATGGTAGGTAGCATTATTTTAGATTTAAAAATTGATGACACTGAATTATCCCACGAATTTGTAGTAATGGACGCGCATCTACGAACTCTTATTCTTGGACGAGATTTCCTTAAAAAAAATGAATGCCAAAATTGATTGTAAACGAGAAACAATAAAATATAATTTGATGAGTAATCATGACGTAAGCAATTATGATCTAAAAAAAATAAAGAGCACTACAGATGCCGTTATACCTAAACTATCTATTAAATTGATTAGGGCCTCAATAGAAGCAGAGGATGGCGAATATGTCATCGAAGAGAACAACAGAATGACTCAAACAAATGGTCTTCGATTGGCAAGAAGTTTGCTTACTGTCACGGATAAGAAAACTCATATCTGGATAACGAACCCTTATCCTCGACCTTTAAAAATCATGAAAAACCAAACATTGGCTTATGGAAGTCTTCCTGCAGGGGTAAATTTTATAGAGAATAAAGGGAAGCAGAATGAAAATGACGAAATACAATTTCAAATAAACAAAAATTTATCATTTAAAGAACAAGAGAGGTTAACACAAATTTTGGCCAAGTATACTGATTTGTTCTCATCGAGGTTAGGTAGGACCAATTTGGCAAAACATCAGATTCATACAGAAGACGCAAAACCGATAAATCACGAGCCTTACCGGTTAAGCGCTAAGGAACGAACCATCATAAAGGATCAAATAGACGAGATGCTTGAAGAAGGAATAATTAGACAATCTTCAAGTCCCTGGTCCTTTCCCGTTATATTGGTCAAAAAACGAGATGGCAAATACAGATTTTGTGTGGACTACAGGAAATTAAATGAAGTAACAGTGAAGGATGTTTATCAAATCCCAAGAATTGATGATGTAATGGATACTCTCTAAGGATCCAAGTACTTCTCAGCAATAGATCTCAAATCGGGATATTGGCAAGTCGAAATTGAAGAGAGAGACAAAGAGAAGACGGCTTTCACTACTGCACATGGGTTATATGAATTCAACGTAATGCCCTTCGGTCTATTCAACGCCCCTGCTACTTTTGAGAGGAACACGGACAATGTCCTCGGAAATCTGAGATGGCAGATTTGCCTTTGCTACCTGGACGATGTGATTATATACAGCTCGGACTTTCCAACCCACATTAAAAGACTTGAAGCTGTCCTCAGATGCTTCAGCGAATCTAATTTAAAACTGAACGCCAAGAAATGCAGATTTGCTTTCGAGGTACTTGAGATCCTTGGACATATAACCAACCAAGAGGGTATAAAACCCGCTGAATATAATATCAAAGCCGTTAGAGATTTTCCTCAGCCCAAGAAGGCCAAAGAGGTGCAATCATTCCTAGGAATGTGCTCATATTATAGAAAATTTATTAAAGATTTCTCATTAATCGCTGACCCATTGACCAGTCTCATCAGATAAAATGTGCAATTTATCTGGACAGGAAAACAGGAAGAAGCGTTCCAAAACCTTAAAAAAGCTCTTATGAATCCGCCAATTTTAGGTCACTTTGATCCAAATGCAGCCACCTGCATTCACACAGATACCTCTAACATCGGCTTAGGCGCAACACTAATTCAAAATATCGGTGGCGAAGAGAAGGTAATATCATATTTGAGCCGAACCCTAAGTAAACCTGAGCAAAATTATTCAACCACCGAAAAGGAATGTTTAGCTGTAGTGTGGTCGATATCAAAATTACGGCCCTATTTATATGGAAGGCACTTTAAAATTGTCACTGATCATCACGCACTATGCTGGCTTAAGAATTTAAAAGATCCGACCGGTCGATTAGCACGATGGGAACTGAAGATTCAGGAATATAATTTCGAAATTATACACAAATCGGGAAAAAAACATCTGGACGCTGATGGTCTATCTAGAGGACCCTTACCAGAAAACGAATGGGACGAGGATTATGAAAGACTATTTTTGAATCAAATAATAGACGAAAAGGATGATTTTATTGAGAATATTAAGGGGAACCTTAGTGGAAAC